GTTATTTTTCATTGATTGAAAATGATCCGATTTCTTTATAAAAGGTTCTAATTGGTGAATTATCGACTCGTATCAATAAAGAAAGATCACCAAATGGAATTTTAAGTGCTGTACAACAAGCACAACAAAAAACAAAACAACAACCAAAAGGTAAAAAAATCAAAACTAAAAAAGAACTAACGATGAAAGTCCTTCAATTTGTGGGGCAGACCTTTTTGGTATCCGTTCCGATCACAGTCTAGAAAAAACTATTCCAGAGTTTATTCATATCACATCAAAAAAAATTTCTTTAGTCCTTATTTTTTGATTTAGTCGATGACTGGCACTTTTTCAGTCATCTCTTTTGAATTATGTTCTAATTGATGATTTATAAGATACTTTGCTTAAAACTAGAGAATATTGAACTATAATCTTTAGTTCCGGTTGGAACAACTTTTTTCTCGTAGTCTCAGTCCCGTCCGGTCTCAGCAACTTCTCATTCTGGTGGTCCAGGTCTAGGCCCATACTCACATCCACACCCTTTTTCTTATGATCTCAGTGACCGAAACTGGAGCTACAGTTGGTCTCGCACATCTCTAGTTGAGATTATGTGCATTATGTGGATTTAAATGAGCTATGAATACTCTGAAAGGAGCTCGTGTCCTTAGCTTATTGCTGTGAAGATTCTGCACTTTTTAAATGAATGCTGTGATCCTTAAGAAAAAAAATTCATTTTCAAATTTCGATTTGTAATTTTGTATAGAAACAGGTCTTAACTAGAATAGATTATTGTGAAAGTTACAGATCTTGCCACTGTTACTATTCTAAGATAGAACTATGATAATAGTATGTCTTTTACGTCACTCGTATAAATGAGCAGATTTAATGTTCTTATTTTAGTATAGAAGTCAATCAAAAGGCCTGAAACTTTCACAATAAACTTCTCTTGTTTAAGTCTGTCTCTATGCGAAATTTCAAGTTGAAATTTAAAAACGAGTTTTTCTGAGAGGGATTATGAGATTGATTTAGGAAGTGTAGTAGCTCCGCAGCAATAAGCTACAGGCACAAACTTTTTTCAAGATATACATAGCTCATTTGGTTCTATATAATCTTAACTTAAAAGCAATTTATCAGTCAGAGTACTTTTCTCGTAAAATTCTTTTTATTTATAACAAAATTTATTTTATTTTATTTTATTTTTCAATAGCTGCTCGTGCTGGTGGAGCGAAGAAAGGTAAACAAACAACAAGTCGTAGTAAAGCAAAAGCAAAACAATGTAAGATTTAATTTTTAAAGAAATAAAAAAAAACAAATATTATGATAATTCATTTTGATTTTTAGCTGATGATAATGACGATGATGATTTAAAAGAAAATGATGGCGACGATGATGATGATGAAAATGTATTTAAACGACCAATGAGAAAAGAACCAAAAGTGCAAACAATAAGTCGATCAAAACGTGGTGCGGACGCGTAACTGCACGTAAAAAAGCAGCTGTAGTAGCGAGTGATGATGAAGATGATGATTAACTTATTTTTTTTTGTTTTTTCTTGTATTATATTAAATTGTATATTTTGATTTGGTTATTTACTTTTTCTTTTGATGTTATTCTTTCTCTTTCTTCTTCTCTTAATATCCATTATTAGAAGATTTTGTTATGCATAATACTTTCATTTATTTTGTGCTTCATTGTGAAAAAAAAATTATAAACGGTTTTGTTTCTGTCTGAATATTACAAATAAAAGATCTGTTAATGAAACAATTTTTTTTTTGAAAAGGTTAATATTAATTGAAAATCATTGATATTTTTCTAACAGCAAGAAAATATTTTATCTTGATAAGAAAAAAAGAAACGTTTAATCGTTGATCGCACTACAATTTTGTATGAAGATCTTGACAGAAAAACAAATGAAAGAATTTATTTTCTATGATCCTTGTCATCCAATGGAAAAGAAAGATCTAGTTATATATGGAAAGTAATCAAATATTTGTACACAAAAATAGAATATAAACAAGTTGTATCGTAGGGTTTGTATACAGTACGGCAATAAAACAAGTAACGCGTCGGCTCTTTGAGCCTCGCTCAGCTCAACTCAATCCTGAAAGCTTGGGACTATGGTATAGAGCATTGAGTATTCTATAACTAAACATATATTTCTAAATGAATCTGAAATAAAACCAAGTAATTTATTTTGCGAACGGAATTGCCAATAAGTATTAGAGTAAATTTTCTTTACAATAACATATAGTTTAAAATTCGTTTGTATTTAATATGTATTAATTATATGCTATTATTGGATACTCATGTTGGAAAGCATTTCAAAAAATTCTTTAGTTAAAAATGCTTGATGATACAAATATTTGTCACAAAACTTATCCAAGAAGAAAAACATTGATAAGACTTTCTCGAATAATCTAATTCATAGGTGTCTAAATGTTGTACTCATACTTGTCTACAAAGAAACTACAGATTTTTTAAATTTCTTTTTCAATATTGAGTTGTATTAAACAAATGGTAGAAAAAAACAAATATTTACAATTATAAAGAAAACAATGACAAAAAAACCTGTTCGATTATACTTTATTCATTAAATCTTTGATTGTTTGTTATTCTTCCGACAGACCTGATGTTATCAATATTGGTAGAATGCCCACATCAACATGACTAAAATTATTTCATCATTTAAAGAATGAAACATCTTTTAGTTTTTTTCTTCTCACGTAAGATATGAAATTTATTTTCGATTGAATTGTTGGAAGAATTAAAATTTGTATCTAATTCAAAAAGAACAGCATACAAATTTAATGGAAAATTAGTTTTATCACAGTCCGTGAAAAGCTCGTGCGTCTAGAAGGAAAAGTAGTGTTCTCAATTACTGGAAATTCTATAAGTCAATGATCTCCACTTTTTATAATATAATTTTTATTATAATACGGGCATATAATGAAAAAATTCGCCGTCTCATATATGGGACATCCGGCGCGAAAGGTTTAAATAAATCACGATTAATTCAATAAGGGTATGGGTGTTGTTCTTTTATTTTCTAATGGAGTCGAAATGTACCTAAAACGTCTCCCGTACTTTTATGTATGAATAACATAAGTGTGGAATTAGTGGTTGTTTATCAAGACTCCATATAAAATAATTTTACCTGATTCAAAATACCTCATTCGATACAGTTTTTAATGACGATTCTGAATCTAAAGATGGTTTTTATTGTTAATGGTAAAATATAAGAGTAAATGGTTGAACATTAGAAAACCTATACTACACAAAATGTGAAAAAAAGCAACATTTTTTTGTCCTTCGTCCTATTTGCATAGTAAATGATTCTCCCATAGAAAGTTATTTATATAGGTCGATAGAGCAGAAGTTCCTCTATCGAACTATATATCAGGCTTGCTGCTGGAATTCCATTTTTGAATCAAATGCTACGCAAACATTTTCGTATGTTTTAGGTATTCAGTGGCAAGGAACAGCTATTAAGATTCCAGTAAAAATAATTGAAATTTAACCTGAAAAGTAGAAGATCTTGAAGAAATTTTTGATGTTCTATACGAATCTGAAGTTAAAATATTGATTAGAAAAAATATTTAGCTTCATATTCTCCAAAATAATGAAAACGATTACATTTGAAGTTGGAGAAAATAGTCAGAAATACGTATTTTCGTATTTTGCGAATTTATCTCTTATTATGCGGTCAATGATAGACTTTTCGGTGATCAAAATGATCAATGTAAAAAGTTCTATTGTATAATGCTATTTGAAGGCCAATCGAATATACTTCATGTAACGGTGGAAGGAACCCCACGGAATTATCCAAATATGTTATATGAGTCTTGACAGAGAAATTTTGTTTGCCAAATATGCTACTTTTAACTCTTATTTGGTGAATATTTCAGTCAAACGTCATGGCACCGATCTGAAAATTTTACCATAGTCTCTCCACTACAGTCCCAATATATTCTGAAAATTTCAGTCAATTTGGATGTACCTAGAGATTGAGATCAATTTTCGAGAGGTCTTAAAAGGTGTTAAAGCAGATGAAAAATATACGTTCAAAAGAAAATGTGTTCAATAATCCTATTTATTTGTTACTTAAGTGTGTTTCTTGATCTTGCACAATTCTATTTATTTATTGATTAGATTTCGTTGTACGTGTCAATTTTGACATGAGCAAATTGTTGTGGACAAAATGTTGCAATTAATTTTGTGGAAAATAATGACGCAGAATAAAAAAGATAGTGAGAAAATACTATAGTTTCATTAAAAAAAATTGAATTCTGAATTGAAAAAGGATTGATACATTTACAAAACTCACAAAGGTTCTCCACAATTATCTCACATCGAAGATACCACCGTCTGGTTCCAGTGGCTTGTCGACAGCAGCCGAACAGAAGATTCTAAGAGATGATCAGGTTTCAAAGCCAGGATACGATACTCGTATCATCGGTCGGCTGTGTTCTGTTCTGACTGATTCTTTCCAGAAGCAGAAAAAGCTGATCCTTGAATCGGAATGTCGCGTATTCATAGCTCGAATTGTCGACCATTTTTACAAGTTTGTCAACTGAAACCGGCACGTGCACCTTCACCTCGTTAAACTAGAAGATTCTTTTGTATGAAAACCTTACAGATTCTCTCAATGAAATGTAAGTTTTGAGTGAAATTTCGAAATGATTCGTATATCTCTTGGAAATCTTTCTTTTTCCAGCACATTCTAAGAAAAGTTTTAGCAAGATTTCTTTGAACGTAACTGTAGAAAAACATTTGTAGGTGTTGTAAATGAGTTAATCCTTTTCAGTTCTAGATTAATTTTGTTTTAAGAAATTACAGTATTTTTAAATTATTTTTCTTCACTTTTCGTCATTGCTTGCTGCAAAAGCAATTGATGATGCATAAATATATTGTACAATAAAATTTTGCAACATTTTTGTTCGCAACAGTTTGTCCGTGCAATGAATATTCAGCAACGAAAAGTTCAACCACCCGCTTATCGATCGTTAGAAAAATATAGTGTCTCGAAAGATATGAATTTCTACGAATAAATTTGAGTTAACTGAAATCTGTGATAATGTTAAATTACTACGTTGCACATTTATGACAGATAAACAAAAGATAGTGGCAAAAGGGTGAAGTGAAAAATAGGTAAGAATACCTACAAAGAGTCATTCACTTACGCCTTCATTGTACTATAGAATACTGAAGAGCACTGGATACTAGTTGATGTAGCTTTTACACCTGTATCAGACAGGATAGGTCATGAACAAAACTGTATTGGACAAAAGTATCTGTATATAATAACATATTTAACTAATATGAACTAAAAAAATAATAGTCTTTTAGCGACTTACGAGCATATTTATTACTTCGAAATAACTGTTTTCAAAAACCATATATTGATTGCTACAAAGCATTTACGTTACTTTATAAATTAAAAGTTTGATGGCATCAGTACTTTTCAATACTTTCAGAAGGAATAAAAATTACTTTTTACTTGTTAATAGCGACATTTTTTGCTTTGAAAATTTCACATACGAAATCAACACATTTTAATTATCATTGTGTTTTTATCTGATGAATAGTCAGCACCAGCTGAGACGGTTGAACTTATTTATTACTATAAGCTACAAATTATTTCTTTTGAATACTATAATCAACATCTAAACGGTTATTTTAATAATAATAACAATTATATTCATAATATTTCTTAACTATCATCACTATCAACCGATAAAAAAATGATAATAGATACACAACTACTTTGGAAACATTCATCAATTCTTCTTTGGTAATCAAAAATGTTATGTTTAATCAGATTGTTTTTCTTATGGATATTTCATTAATTCAGTTTTTTTAAAATCAAGATATAGTATAATTGAACAGAATATAGAAGCTATCGAATATGTATAAATATATTACTTGACTTTTGAGGCGTTATTGTTAAATGTAGACATATTATAGAGCAAGACAATAATCCCTTGATTATGATAAACATAAAGCTTGTACAAAAGTTATTTTCAACTATAGTAACTTTACGTAACTCTAATATGACTCTGATGTTTCTAGGCCAACTGTTTCTTCATATCAATGTCATGAATGAAAAGTACAAACGCTTGTGATCGATCATAATCAAAGTGATAGAGTTTTGCTTGCTCATCATCATCTCTATATATCATTTCAATATATATTATGCATATATGCGAAACATTGTTTGCCTATCAATAAATCATCTTTCATTCAAGTCAAAATATAGCTTTTATCAATGATATCTACCATTGTAATCAAGTAAAATACAAACTTAAACAGAAATCAATCCAATCATTCTATAGAATGAAATAAAGAATTGAATTACCTACTAAATATATATATATATATATTATGAGAGTTTATCTTTATCTCATTATTTCATATATGCCTTGTATTAAATTTCTTTATAAGTATTTTGAAAAAAAAAAGCTTTACAAACATACGTATA